GAAATTCTGCAGACTGAGTCAGGGCCCTGGCTGAATGGCCTTAGGCAGATGGCTTCATCCCTCAGATCTCATCTGAGAATGAGGAGAGGGATCTAGGTGAGCCCTGGAGCCTCTTCCAAGTCTGTGATGTTGATAAGTGAGTAAGATGTAGGACCAGTTAGCCCTGGTGAGGGATTTCCTGACAGTTAGAGATACAAAGCTCAGTTCAGACTCAAAACCGCTTTATAATCTCCTTAAGATGACAGGGGATGAAGTGAGGTCACTGAGAAGCTTAAGGACATGGGGCTAAGGCAGGGCCCAGCTCTCTGACCCACCACTTCACGTTCTTCATTCCATTCCTGATAAGGTCCAGTTCTTAAGGGAGATACTTAACCACTTCAGGTGACCTTCCTCCAGGCCACACAACCTCTGGGGTCCCAGAGTATGAAGTCTAAGTAGCTGCTGGTACGGGCTGAGTTTCCTTCCTATACTACCCACCTAAATGCCTCCCTCCCCATTTCATAAGCTGAAGTTTTAATTTCCAGTCCCTCAGAATACAACCTTGTTTGGGAATAGGGCTTTGTTTGGGAATAGGGTCAAATTAAGATGAAGCTGGTAGAGTGGGTCCTAATCCAAAATTATTGTGTCCTTACAAAAAGGAGAAATATAGAGACACACACAAGCACACAGACAATGAGAATCCCAAGTGGAGATGAAGGCTGGGCTCAGGTTGATGGATCTGCAAACCTCAGACACCAGGCTGCCAGAAAATCACCAGAAACCAGGAGAAAGACATGAAATGGATTCTACCTTATACTCCCCAGAAGGAAGCAACCTTGAGGAAAGCTTCATCTTGGTCTTCTGCCTCCAGAAATATGAAACAATTAATTTCCATTACTCAAGCTACACAGCGTGTGGCTCTTTGTTACAGCAGCGCTAGGAAGCTAACACGGAAAACCTATTTCATTCTTGAGATTCTCTCGCTTAAAGCTGGCAGGAGTATGAAGAAGGAATAGATGGAAGGTGGAAAGAGGAAACAGATTCACTGGATGTGTGTATTTCACGGTGGCCTCAGAATACTGGGGCTCTAGCATGGTTGTCAGTTCAAGGAACCAGAAATTTTTGAAGAATTGCAAAGACTCAGGCAGGGTCCAGGGACTGCCTAGGGCAAGCACTTTGGGACAACTCTTCATCAGTGCCAACCGACACTGACCTCAGACACATTCCACTGACTCCCCACCACCCTCTCCCTGCTCATCATGGATTCAGGGGTCTAACCTTGGGCCACTCCAGCACCTCTTGTCATTAACTAAGCCGCAGCTCCTCCTCCACCTCTGTTTAGCAGACTAAGTTTTAGCTTCCATTTCCTATTCTCCTAACCTCCAATTTCTGGCCCGATCCTGACTTTTTGACTGGGTGCTCTGGATTTGATACCAAGAGCTCAGGAATGCTGGACCCAAACTTAAACCAGTGATAGGGCAAGAATGTTGGAGACTAGGATCATGGAGGGAAGGAAGCTGGAACAGTGTGTGCATTTGTAGAGTGAGGATGCATTTGGCCGAGGTCACATAAAAAGGTCACAATCGCTCACACTTTGAATTTTCCTAGCATGACTATCCCATTGGAGTTATACATCCACCCTGGGAGACAAATGAGGCAGAAGTTATTATGACTCTATTAATAGCTCTTTATTCACATCCCCATGTCACAGGTGGAGAAAGCTAATATTCAGTCAGCCTATGACTCCTGGCCTAAAGCATACAATCAAAAAGCGAGGCAGCAGCTGGCTTTAAATGCAAGATCTTTCTTCCCTACCGGCCTCTCTCTCCATAGAGAAGAGCTCAGAAACTGAAGGAGGATGCAGGCCAGGGGAGATGATATAGGCAGAGGCAGATCAAAACTCCCACCGACTTGGCTCTTGCTCCCTGTCAAGTACAAACTGGCCAAATACCACACACTAAGAACAAAACACCTTGCATGTAGGCAACACTGCACAATGACGATGTCTTTACAAGCATTATCTCATTTGATCCTCACAAATGACCCTATAAGGTAGGCAGGGTAAACCTGGTTATCCTCATTTTGTAAAGCATCTAAGCAAAGGCCAGTTAAATGTCAGGCCCTGGTCACAGATTCAGGGGGTGGGAGAAGGACTCAGACCCCTTGCTTCTCTGCGAGTTTATCTTCTTTCTTACTGCTCAGGAATGGGTCTAATCCAAGAGTGGCAATTTGGCAATACATTCCAAATGTATGCAATTCCATCTCCTCCCATACACAGGGTAGAAGTTATTAATCAACCACATTGTGACCAGCTTTAGCCTCAGAATCCTCCTCAACACGGTTCTTTGGACAGCTATTAGTAAAAAGAGGAAAGCAAGCAAAATGGAGACTTATTCCCAGCAGTGCCTATAACCGGTTCAGGGCTGAGAGACCATGTTTAGAGTCCAAGAATTTATCTGAACAATAATCTGGGCCAAGAAGACCCTAATCATCTGACTATTCCCATACAGCCTTACCTTTTAATTTGTAACCACCACCACAATAATAATAGCTAATTTTTTTATTAGTTGTTTACAATGTGCTGGGGTACTATATTAAGTATTTTACATGCATTTTTCCCAGAATGTAGCATTATTATTCCCATTTCAGAAATAAGAGAACTAGGTCTTTGACAACTTCCGAACTTTGCCCAGTGCATCCTGGTTCTGCCAAAGCCCCTGAACCTTGTTCTTCAGTCTCCTCGACTGAATGATTTTACCATAATCTCCTAGACCAATGATTTTTTTTTCAATTTCTTGCGAGGAGAAACATTTCTTTCTTCCCTCAAACCTTTGAAATCAACTGCTTGGAAAGGGACAAAAGCAGTGAAGGAAGAAGATTCTAAGGGTAAAGCTGTTGAGGTAAGCGAGATCCACAAGGTGGCTAACTGACAGTTGTCAGTGGTGGGGATGGCAGTACACAGTCTGGCAGAGGTTGGACAGGGGAGCTGAAATATTCACACGTGTGCAAGACGGCACTGGAGGTGGTGCTAGCTCTCCATCTACTGCTGCATTCTGGCACATTCTTCTAAATTTGACTATGAATGTCCACAGTATTACAAAGGTATGTTTGTCAAAGTTGAAGAGTAGAAATTATTTGTAGCGTGATCTATAACTTCATCAATTAGTTATATGGTAAGTGGTCCTCTGTTCATACTTTTGCTCCGTGCCCTGGATTTGTTTGCTGGTAGACAAAGCTTCCCTACTTATGCAATTTCTGATGTTTCTGTAAAGCAGGTCACTCATGGAGCATCTGTTGGCCTATGGTATTGGGAGCAGAGACTCCAGGTCGTTCTGAGTGTCACAGTAGGGCCACACATGCATTAGCACCACCAATTACAGCAGACCCATTATGAGCCAGGTGACCCCTGGATCACAGCAGCCTTCTATCTTGGCAGGCAATGGTCTCCAGCCCCCTAAATGAGAAGGCAGCCTCCAAATGCAGAGAAACCAAGAATCCCTCAGTGATCTGGCTCTTCGGTGTCACTCACGGGAGCTGTTCCTGAAACTATGATTTGGAGTTAGCTTCATCAGCTTTCTCAATGATTCTATAAGCCATATAAATATCTGAAATAAGTCTTTTCTGCCTAAAACAACTGGAACAGAGTCTGTTCCTTGCAACTGATATCTACAGTCCATCTTCAATGACCAAGAGTTTGGTATCTTAGGAGAAGCAAGTTTGACTACATTTTGGCTCTTTGTTTCTCCATTAAACTCCTTTAGTGAAGGCTTCTGAAGTATGGGGCAAGCACCTACATTCAACCTTTCTGATTTGTCCTTCAGGTCTGCATCTCTGCTCCCTCTCTGTGCTTGACCTGGATGGGGGTGGGGGTGGTCCCTGAGCAAGGCTCTCAAGTCCTCCTTGGTGCCATCTAAACCCAGGGTGCCAATCTCAACAACATCCTATCCCAGCCCAGGCCTCTGGGACCCTGGGCTGGATTTACAGACAAAATATCAGAGCAAAAGTACTTTGAGAATCTACAGATTCCAGCTCAGTATAAGCTATTTGACGGTCACCAGAATTGGACACCGAGGGAAGGCACCAGAAGAGAGAACAGGAAGGTTGGTGGAGATCACCTGGACCTTGACAACCTCATAAACAACTGAGAATGATACTCACTGAAGTCACAGAGCGACAAAAAGTGTTTCTTGGTTTTCAAATTCTCTTAGTTTCCCTGAGAGTCTCCAAGGGTGTGGGTAAAATCAAGCAGTTTCATTTTACTACAAGTCATTGCAAGAAAGTCGCCAAATTCCAGTGACCTGGTTTTATCCACTTTGTCCTCTTCAGGTTTGAATGATCTTATACAGACTTACTGCAATTTCACTTGAAGCCATTTCTGTTGTATCCGGTTTCATCTCCCAGCACATGAGCTCATGGGTTTTGCATGATTTCAGTATGTAGTCATCAGCTAGTTCCTGGCTACTTGGACAGGCTTTAAAATCTCAGGATTCTTTAAATAAGCTAGAGGTAAGACCTACCGTTTGCACTGAAATGTGAAACCAAGCATTTCTTCCAGGTGCCCTGACATCTCTGTATTTATATACATACCTTATGGTTCAAGTCTTTCTCTCCTTTTTAAACCCTGGAATCTTTTTAAGCATCTTGCTTTTCTGCTCCTCAGTCTGTACACCTGCCCTCTCAGAGAAGAAGTCCTGAAGGAAAGCAGTCTTGGAGAAATCAAATGGTCAAAACTCAGGAAATATTAGAGCTCTTGATGTTACAAAGAATCACATAAGTGCATGTTAGGCACTAAAGCAACACTGAGATTCTGATGGGAGAAGAAAAGAAAATTCCATCCTAAGGCAATTTCATAAATAATGGAAAATGGTGTACATTTCAAGTATCCATTAATAGAGTCAACATGTTGAAATTGAGCCAGAATGTGTAGGCTTGGAATTCTGGAATGTGTGTTCACTGAACATTCCTTATTTCCAAAGTCATAGCCAACAACAAAAATCTCATTATGGTATCAGAGTCTCCATTCTTTCTCGTAGACCCATGGGTTCTCTCTGAGCAAAAACTGTGAAAGAGTTTATAGAATACAACAGGAAAGACTTGAAGATGACACCTTTGTAGTTGGAACTAAAAAAAGACTAACTTAACAAATGTAAGCATAGTAGCAGGCGTGCTAGTGATAAGTAACTCAAAGGGGTGGTTAGAACTTGGGCTTACATCACTAACTTAGTAGGTGACGGGGGGAATGGGGGAAGAAAGGCTCCTATGTAAGAATAAGTACGTCTCTTTAGGAAAGACAAATGGGGTTTTTTGGAGAGCAAACAGTAGATAAGAAAGTTTATGATAAAGTCTGTCTATACGTGTCTGAGCTGTCTTTCTGGCTTCTTCAGGGTCCAAAAACTCCTCTTAGAGATGGGATTTATGGTAGATCTGCTCTCATTCTCGGGGGCACATTCCCCTCGGTGAGGGAGTGTATAGGGATCCCTATTTCTCAAAAGTTTCTCCTTTTAGTCAGATAAGGGAAGCTCTGAAAGCCTTCTTTGCTCATCTGTTGAATTTTAAATGTCTTCAGTTTAAAATAATCATTATACCAACTCTGGGGTTTCCAGTGGGTCCCCACGCCTACCTCTCTGCTTTCAGTCCGTGGCCAAATCCTCTGCTGAGACTTAGAGTCTTATTAAAGGATCTTATTAATCATTTATCCTCAGAATTTGGCATGTCCTTTGCCCAGTCACTAAAAACTTTAAAATGGCAAAAGTAAAGGAGTATTATTTCCCAATATTTATCAAAGGGCAGTAAATAAAATAATTATCAGAGATGTGTCTTTGGCGCTGATCTGTTTCCCCAGATATCACTTGTATTCTCAACTCTTTATGGCCTTTTCCTCCAGGAGGTTTTGTAAATCAAGTGCACCCTGCAGTGAACCCTTGTCTTCCTGAAAACCTTTTCCTTATTGTTTCCTAATTCAGAGAATGGCAGGTCAGCAGCCACCCTACTGCCAAAACTACGCAAATGTTCCTCTCCACTCTTTTGTCACCCCTAGAGTGAATCATCAAGCTGACCTGTTGTCTCTGCCCCCGAAATATCTCCAGAAGGAGGACCCCTCTGCCTTCATTCTGTTCTCATCATCCTTGCCAGATATTCCAGAAATGTCGTCAGTGGTTTCCCAGTTCTAATGTCTCTTCTTTCCACTCTATCACCACGTTTTCAAAACAGGTGACTTGAAATTCTCCAAGTACTCCAGCAGCCAGGATCATCTTTCCTTAAATACGAGGAGACATTGTTCAGGCCCTCCAGTCCATTATCGCTGACAGGGGCTCCCCCTCCACACTCTTCAGTTTGCACCCCGAGTCTGTTCACCCACGGCTCCTTCTCTGCTTCGTGCCTGAATCTGGCACCTCAGTTTCACTCCCTGGGCAGGCACAGGCTGTCATCTCAGGTCACCTTGAAGAATTTTGGAACAATTGTCTGTTTTCTTCATGTCTAATTCTCGGGTTGTGCATGAGATATTTTGCTGAACATAATGTCGTGATAGCACAGGGAAAGGGATGGTCAATACTGTGGCTTAAAGATACTTGTAGGGTGCTCTGTGTCTCACTGGCCTTAGCCCACTCTGAGCGCTCACCTCACTCCCCGCCTTGCAGCTCAGGACCTTCCTTCTCCAGACCAGACCCTCTTCCATCTTCTCTGCCAGATTCCTAACTGTCCCCAGCCTCCAGTAAACATGACTTAGTAAACATGACTTAACCTTCCACGGACAGTTCAACTTGTCATATTGAACCTGCTTCCATCTGGCTCATCTTTCATACCCGATTGATTGCATGAAGTGGCTTTCCAAAAACAAGAGCAATTCTCTCTTTAAGAGAAGTTCTGATGGCCCCTTGGGTCAATCAAGTCTAACAGTGATTTTCACAACAGTGTGCTTTGTGTTGCGTTGTTGAGGTTAACGCGGAGCACTTCACTGTGTGTGTTTTCTTTTCAACTTGATAATGTTTTTGGTTCCTTATTGTTGACAAAAAGTGGTCTCCCAACTGGAAAGGAAACCAGGGACTTTAGGAAGATGATCCAGTGGGTACGCAAAGAAATTATTAGAAATTCTGTGTTATATTTTTGTGTGTATGTTTATGTCAGTTAGTGTGTCTGTAGTATCTTATAATGATGTAATAAGAAAGTGTGACTAAAATATATTTACTGATAAAGGTGTGAGAACAAAACATTGTCCATTTGTCCCCAGAGGGCAAAGCCTCAGTGCTCTTGGCATAGCTTCCAAGTCCTTCCTGAGAGGTGCCCAGTTTGTTAAAGGATTAAAAAGAAAAAGATTAACTTAATGACTCTCTTGTCGATACAAAATAAATACATGTTAAAGATTTTACTTAACTGGTTATGAATGAAGGAATAGAACTGGAGAATCCAATGAAAACATTTATAAGTCAGGAATATTGAAAGAATAGTGCAAAGTCAGGCAAGACTACCTTCTTCCAAGAAGGGGGAACTAAGTCCATGGAAGCTCTCAGATAGGAAAATTTACGTCTCTGGAGATGACACACTTTGTGCCTCCTGTGCTTTGACTGCAACTTACTAAGTTGTAAAATAGCTCAAACGATAGGCTCCGAATGTGTGTAAGTCAAATTCAGGTAACTCAGGAAGGTGGTGCTCTAGACCAGGATTACCTAAGTCTGTAGGCCAGGTCCCCAACCACCTGTTTTTGTAAACACAATTTTACTGGTACACAGCCACGCCCATTGTTCAGGCATTGCCTGTGGCTATGATCTGGCCATTCTTCAGTAGTCCAGATAGTATTTATAGTCAGAAAATCATCTGGCTCTTTACAGCAAAGGTTTTTTGTTTTTGTTTTTGATTTTTTTTAAATATTTTATTTTATATAATTCTTACATCATTTTTCATCTTTGTACAATGTATGCATTTTCATTTTGGTTATATTCCCCATACAATTGCATCCCCCCCCTTATTTTGACTCTAGTTCTTCCTCTTTCCACCCTCCTTAATCCGCCCCCCCCCAACCCACAGTGTGTCTCTGGTTTAAAGTTTCTTGTTGATTTTGATTATTAGTTTGCATTGATTAGTCTTTTTCCTGGTCTCTTATTTAGGTTTTCTAAATTCCTGCTGTGAGTGAGACCATCCGATATTTTTCTTTTCTCTTTCTGACTTATTTCGCTGAGCATGATCCCTTCTAGCTCCATCCATGTTGCTGCAAACTGCATGTGTTTATCTTTTTGATTGCTGAGTAATATTCCATTGTGTATATGTACCACATCTTCTTGATCCAGTCTTCTATTTTTGGGCATTTGGGTTGTTTCCATATCTTAGCTATTGTAAATAGTGCTGCTATAAACATAGACGTGCAGGTGCCCTTTGGAATTACTGTTTCTGTGTCATTTGGGTAAATACTTAGGAGTGGAATTGCTGGATCATATGGAAGCTCTATGTTTAGTAGGTCAAGAAATCTCCACACAGCTCTCCACAGTGGTTGGACCAGTTTGCACTCCCACCAGCAGTGCAGGAGAGTTCCTTTTTCTCCACAACCTCACCAACATTTGTTGTTGCTAGTTTTTTTAATATGTGCCATTCTCACTGGTGTAAGATGGTATCTCATGGTAATTTTGATTTGCATTTCCCTGATTGCAAGTGATGTTGAACATTTTTTCATATGCCTGTTGGCCATTTGCATTTCCTCTTCAGAGAAGTTTCTTTTTACTCCTCTGCCCATTTTTTGACTGGATTATTTTGTTTTTGTTGAGTCTCATCAGCTCTCTGTAGATTTTTGTGATCAGTTCTTTATGATTAGTGTTGTGTGTAAAAATGTTCTCCCAGTCGGTGGGGTTTCTCTTTGTTTTTTGTTATTGTCTCTTTTTACAGCAAAGGTTTGCCAGTCCCTGTTAGAAAACAATCCACCATTTTCCAATGAATCAGAGTTCTCAACACATTCTTTTTTTTTTTTTTTTTTGAAGATTTATTTATTTATTTATACAAGAACCGGGGTACAGGCCAATTGCTCAGGAGGGTGAGAGGATTGACCAGAGACAGAGCGGGGAACAGAACAGGCAGACTGACAAAATACATTGCTGAGGGGAGCAGCGGGCGAGACAGGAGAGGTCTGCCATGCCATGTGGGACACTCGCCAGCCGCCAGGATTGTACGGCACTGCAGAGGCTGTGGACAGCTTCACAGTGCGGCGCTTAACCACCTGTGCCACCAGGGGAGGCCCCTCTCAACACATTCTTTAGCCCAACAGGTCCTCCTGCCTAACTAGCCTGTCTGCCACAGCTCTGCCCCACTGAAATGCTCTTGGAGGCTGCACTAGTGAACATCAAGATGTGAACCAGGAGCCACTCAGAAAAGTCGTTCCCATAGCCCTGGCTGATTCCAAGGGCAAGCAGCCCTCTATTCATTCTGTGGTAGATCATTATAAATCCACCTACTGATAGTGAAACTTGTGTCAGGACCTATTATGGCAGAATTGTGTCCATCTTCCCCAACCCCCCAGATTTATATGCTCAGGAACCAACCCCCAGTACCTCAGAATGTAACTAAAGAGGATCTACAATGAGGTGATTAACTTAAAATGAGGCCTTTAGGGTGGGGCCCTAATCCAATATTTCTGGTATCCTTATAAAATGAAGGGGACACTCCAGAGATGTGGGTACAAGCACAGGAAAAAGGGCCATGTGAGGGCCAGGGAAAAGGTGGCCATCTCCAAGCCAAGGAGAAGCAAATCCTGCCCACACCTTCGTCTTGGACTTAACTTCCAGGACTGTGATGGCACAAATACCTGTTACTTAAGTCTCCCAGTTTGGGGCCCTTTGTTACGCTAGCCCAAGCAAACTAAAACATGAGTATTCATATTAGCAGATCAAAACACTGTGGTGGGGCTTGGCAATTAGCTTACAGACATCTGACAGAGCCCCCTCTAATCTTTTTGGGATGAATAACAGTTACTCAAGCAGCGATGAGCCATAGGCAATCCAGACAGTCTGCCTACGTGAGTAGCGTTAGGGGATATTTTCCAGACACGCGATCATTTATTCACTCACTAAGACTTTATAGGCTAGTATGGTGAGAGAGGGAGGAAGATGTGCCAGTGGAGGTGGAAAGAGACGGTGAAAAGGACAAGGTCTGCCATAGGGATGGATGGGTTAGGAAGGGACAGACGGACAAGGCCAGTTGCCCCATATCCCTAGTAGATTAGCCTGGGGGTGTAAATGACTAACCAACAGAAAGTTACAATACCATGTGATAGTCTTAAGAGAAAGGGTTTTTTTTAATTCATGATGAATTCTATCCATTAATTTTTTTTATTGAGTAACATTGCATTATAACATTATGTAAGGTTCAGGTGAGCTTCACTGAGGACCAACTCGTGTCTCTCCCCACTACATTAGGTCACTGCTAAACGTCTGATTCTGCCCTTCACCGAAGGGGACGATAGAATGGTCAGGGGATTCTTTTTTTTAGTGCTGTGGGAGCCCAGAGGACTGGGAATGATTCCATTAGAGAGAGCAGACAAGGAGGGAAGAAGAAATGGTCACAGAGGGGCTCATGAGGGGTTCTGTGGGAACCAGACTTGACATGGAGACTGGAGCACACTTGAGGGGTTTGGAAGGATTCCCACAATGTCCTCCTTAGTCAAGATGTAAAGCCTTAAAACGGCGCAGCCATTGCTACTTCCTAAGGGCAAAAACTCAAATGGGAAAGGGAGGGTCACAAAAACAAAATTCTTTTTAGTTATTCCTGAACTGAGGCTGATTTTTTTAATTATAAAAAATTGCCCTAGCCACATTTTAGTCATCCTTAATAACTCAATAGGTTTCCAGTCAATACTCTTGATCAAAATCAGCGTTGGTTATGTAAATTGATGAGCCGAATGGATCATACCAAGTGTGTGTAGAACACTTGCCAGTGTAATTTATTCTTCAACATCGGTGGGCAGCTTAACTGTGACTCCACTGTCAAGAGTTAAAACAGGGTCCTGCTCTCCTTGTATTGACAAGAGGAAATCTGCACTATTTCTAATGCCACAGCTTCTGCTTATCTCTTTATTGTTTTTGTTTTGGAAAGTAAAGGTGGTCTCTCTTTTATTTTTCTCCAAAACAAGAATAGCATATTAGGGCCTCCATGGTGGTGTAAGGATTAAGTCTCAGTGCTATCAAGCTTTCTCTGCTGCAGCCTGAGTTAGCTCCAGGCCAGGTAGCTGACCTACATGTGGTGCAGCAGACCTCTCCAGTCTCCCTACTACTCCCCTCAGCAGTGTATTTCAATACATCCACCTATTCTGTTCCCCACTCTGTCTCTGGTGAATCTTCTCACCCTCCCACACCCCTGGCCTACACCCCACTTTGTCTATGCAAAGCAAAAACAAAAACAAGAATAGCATATTAAATTAGTTGTATAAAGAACCCATGTAAAAAATTCAAATTTAATTCAAAGATTAAGTTATATCATTTAATCTTTATCCTGGGGACACAATCGGAAATCTTCTGGTCCAGATTAGGACAACAGTTATCATTTTACCCCCTACTACTAAAGGGAGCCTCATACAAAGTTAGCAACTATGCAAGAGAGATGAAATATAAACTGGGAGGAAGAGGAAAAGTGAGTGGGAGTTTTGCAGCAAATTTTGACAAACTCCAGGGAAGCAATTGGTAAATTAACCACAGCATTTTATTCCACCCAAACAAAACAAAACCTTTTAATTATATTGAAATGTGTTGGTTTCTTTGAGGAAGAGAATGGCGTTTGGTAATTCTAATGTTCTGTTGTTTGCTTGTTTGTGTGTATGTGTGTGTATGTGTTCATTTGTTTGATTTATAAATTAGTAAATTTTTGAGACTGCTTTCTAAAAAAAATGAAGAATAACACTAGACTTCAGCGCTCAGTTCCAAGAAAAAAAGTCAGCCTACCCTCAAATTGAACCTGCAGCATGTGGTCATAATTAAATGCCTCAAAAGAACTTAAAATCATCTGAGAACCATCTGACCACATTGTAATATGTCCAACTACACGTATTAGAATGTCAGTGTAGCAGATTGCTGTTTCTAAAATGGCATCTAAAGATGGGGCTGGGGGGGGAGGGGGACACTATTCAAGAATCAGAAGGAAAATTAGAAGAAATGAGACTTTTTTTCTTTTGATCCTACCACTAGGTCCAGGTGCTCTAGGGGTGTAGACAGAATAACCTTGAAATTGGAATTCCAAAAAATTCAATATGGTCTAAAACCATCCTGAGAGCCGATAGGATGCTGGTCTTGCCAGATGGACTTGCTGGAGGATCAAGTTCATTATATTGGGAATTTGGGGACCTTTTATAAGTAGTTGTAACATATGAGAGAGGTCTTTAAAAAATGGAAAGACTTTCGAGTGGTAGAACGGTGAGGAAAGGGCCTAAGACATGACCTGGATAAGTGGAAAGAGGTTGAGTTTCAGGGTTGTTTCCTAGGAAAGGAGATAATTTCAGGGCTTTGTACATGAGGGGAAAACATCAGATTCAAAATTTTGGACACATACTACAGGCAACAGCACAGAGAATGAATTAGAGAAGGGACTCTCTGGAAGTGAGGAAACAAATCGTAACATAGACTTTGAACAAAGGTCTAAAGAAGAGAAGGGAGACTGGAGTAACCCATGTCTTCCAGAATGTTCCATAACACAGCTTAATTCTATTTATATGAAGTCAAATCAAAATTTTGTTCTGTTAACTAAACAAAGAAATAACTTGATAGAAGTTGCAAGATAAAACCAGAAATTATAGGTAGGCAGAATGCAAAGATAGAAAACTACTTTTTCTCTTGAGTCAATGATTTCCTCCTGTCCACTCTAAATCTCTGTCCCAAGAACCTCCATTTCACTGATTACATTCCTTCCCTTGTTTCTGGATCTGCCTCCATCACCAATGGAAAGATACCAGAGAAATTCTTCTTCCTCCACAGGAACTGGTGGGCACCAAGGACAGCATGTTTGCACCACATTTATGAAAACAAAAACATTGTCAGGTTGAATTTTCTCTTGCTCAGCTCACCAAAGAGCAAGTGGAATAAACAATAGTTCTGTTCTAGATTATGAATCATACACTATTCTACTGCTTTCTAAATACCTTAATTCTCCATTTCTAGTCCTGTTGGGATTGTAATGACAAGAAAATGTGTGCAAGTCAATAACTGCCTCTAAAAGCACATGTGAAATGCAACCTAAGCAGCATTTCTATTAACTTCATAGGTTGTCTGGATTCTATCCCAGCTCCTGTAAATCAGCTATTTATCCATTCTGTGCCTGCTTCTCATTGGTAAGTACCACCCTCCTAGGATTGTCAGGAAAATTAGATGGGTTAATATAGGTGAAGCACATGGAACAGTGTCTGACACAAGAACAAGAACTGAATAAGCATTAGTGATTATTATTTCATATCAAGTATTTGCTTCTCTTTTCTAAAAAATGAAAGCAGTGAGAACATCTCAGCAGGCTGTTGTTCTACACCATCGGCAGGGACAGTATAGGGATGCTAGGGGGTAAGAAGAATTGATTATTATGACTCAGTTGGGGGAGCCTTTGGACACAGGTTCCCAGGTGGGGGCCAGTAGTCTTTGACAAAAAGGTGGTACCACAGCTGTACAGACACATAACAATTGGCATTTTCACTGGCTGACAAAATAAACACTTTGGGACAGGCTTACAGGAAAGCTCTTCCTCCCCAGCAGAAATTATGTATGTATGATATTTCGTGTTATTTCAATGAGCAGCTTGAGAGAAAAGACTGTTCTCCACTTTAAAGCCCATTCCTACCCCACAGCTTGGAAGCAAAGATCTGTTTTGTTTGACCTCCATTAAGATGCCCATCCTCCCTACAACTCACAACTCTTCACCTTAGAGAAAGAAAAATATGAGCAAGGCAAATGGTTAAATTGGACTCAGACACTAAGAGCATAAAAGAGAGAGAAAAAACTTTCCTAACTTCTTTCTCTTTTAGATTTGTACTTATGGACACAGCTTTTCTGACACAGCATGGACAAGTAGAAGCAAATGACCTTGAGCTGTGCTCCAAGGCTGGTTGGAATTGGGATACACAAATAGAAAGGAGGGGGCTACCCAGAGGAGGGGAGCTACCCAGAGGAGGGGGGGCATGCCAACAGAAAATAAAATCTCTACTTACCTGAAGCAGACCTCTCCATACTAGTTAGAACTGCCCTCTAACTAGCCAAATGCCTTCAACCAAGTCAACATTTCTTTGTCCCTAATCTGCTCTTCAGCCAGTCAAATTTAACTCCTTTGTTTTCAACCCTGTCCTTTAAATCTACATAACCTCATTCTGTTTCTTAACTGGTGAGGGAGACTTGAATGTATCCCCTACCTACTTGCCAATCAATTTATAACAGTGTTTTATCTCAAAACTTGACGTGACAGCACAAGTTTCTAGACATATCAGGTAACTAGTTCATTTCCTGGTAATAAGAACTGAAAATGTTTGTCATAGTTTAAACAATCTTTAGTGCAATGTTTCTTAAATAGTGGATAGGATGAACTTTCTGAAAGATAGAGAATTGGAATTATAAAAAAGATTGAAACTGATTTTATAGATACCTAGGATCTTAGAACTGGAAGGAAATAGTGAGCCTTTAGTTGTTTTCTGGACTAAAGAAATTTTACACAGTACTCTATTCAAACAAAATTTTTCTTTAAAGGGGACAACTATAAAAAAAAAAAAAAAAAAAAGGAGGGACCACTATGGTTGAATAAATGCAGACAAAAGTGGGAATCTGTGAGTCCTCTGCCTGAATTGTCTGCCCCTGGGACAGGCCAGAGGGGAGTGCATTGTATGCAGAGAACTGAAAACAACAAGAAGATTGATTAAAAGTCAGTGTGCTGTGTGCTATGATCGTGCACTGGGAATGCTTAACTACTTCAGTGGTAGAATAATCCCGTCCTCAGAGGTGTGCCACTGGGCACACCCCTGGGTGAAGGGAGTGTGGGGGTGTCAGCCATCTACCAACCTGCCACACTCCCAACCCGAACAGGCCCCAGTGGCTCCTTGGAAAGTGTTTTGAAAACCACCGAAGCTCATTTTTCAAACCCAGAAAGTTAATGTCTTGCCCAGGGCCACTACGCTAGAGTAAATCAGAAACAGAATTCAAATCCAGGGTCAGAGCTTTCCTTCATCTATAGATCATTCTCAACTTCCAATGGGATGATGTTCCAGTTAAGCCACTGTGAGTTGAACATACTGCAAGTTGAAATGCTGACAGGGAGCCTTCTCTTACTGCAACCAGCTTCACATTGAATATCCTACCTCAGCTTCTACAGAATGTGTACCACTTTCACAGCATTCATAAAATTAAAAAATCCCATCGAACCATCAAAATTAGGGCACTGTCTTAACCCCCAGTCGGGTGATTATAGGCAAGGCAGTATCTTGTTCTTTAGCCTCTTTGCTTGATTTCCTAGTGGTATGGGTTTAATTATTTGACCCCCAAAATCATAGGCTGAAACCCTATTCCCTAGTACCTCAGAATGGGGTCTTAGGTGAAAACAGGGTCATTGCAGATGATGTCAATTAGAGTCTGCTCTAATCCAATATATTTTTTAAAAGATTTATTTATTTATGCATACAAGAACTGGGTACAGGCCAGAGGTGAGGAGGCTAAGAGGTTTCGCCACAGGCAGAGTGGGGAGCAGAACAGGCAGACCAACTGAAATACACTGCTGAAGGGAGCAGTGGGCAAGTCAGGAGAGCTCTGCTGCGCCATGTGGGTAGCTCCCTGGCAGGGGATTGAACTCGTACTGCAGTGGCTGCGGATAGCTTCATAGTGCTGCGTCCTAACCCCTTGCGCCACCAGAGAGGCCTTTTAATCCAGTATTATTGTGTCTTATAAGAAGAGGAATTTTAGAGGCAGATGCCTACCAGAAAGGGAAGAGAGTGGTAGAGACTGAACAATGGCTCTATGAGACAGGAAACACAAAGATTACCAGCAATCCACCAGGAGCTAGGAGAGAGGCATGCAACAGGTTTCTCTCAGAAAGAACTGGTTTTACTGACCTTGATCTTGAATTTCCATCTTCCAGAATTGTGAGACAATAAATTTCTGTTGTTGAAGCCATTCGGGCTATGGCACCTTGTTATGGCAGCCCTGGAAGCTACTGTACTGAGCAGTAGTGCACAAGCATACTTGGGGTATGCATAGCCCTTGGCAGAGGTGGCCACAGGGTGTATTTGCTTAGGCGAGGCTCCTGGGACATCATGACCAAGCTGCCCATAGAGTGAGAGCTCACTTTTGAGCTAACATCTGTATAGAAAGAACCACAGACTTTAAAGCTTCAGCATCTTTTCAAATATTAACTCATTAAGTCTTTTTGGATGGTTCCCAGGAAGTAGACAGAGGCAAATCCAACCTCATAGAACTCAAAGAATGAGTCATTGATTCCATACAACCAGAGGGGACAGGGAAGGGGTGGGGGAAGACAGAGCCAGGACCCCAAGATCTCCAGGGCCTTCTGTCCACCCTTGTCTGCCGTCAGGCTCGTCTTATACCCACATGCTGAGAGGTCTGAATAGAAGTCTACTTCTAACAACTCCAGGCACCAAGAGGTGGAAATCAGTCTCTTTTCTAGGAAAGTCCGTGGGGAGCATGCCACTTGGGCATCAGGGAGAGCAGTGCCAGCTTAGAGGGTGTGGCACCAGGTAAGGTCACCACTGTTACAATCCCAGGAGCCCATCTCATATCAACTTCTGGATGCTCTGGGCCCTTGAGACTCCAGGGGTCCTGTACACTCACCCTGGAGCAACTCTTGAACTTGGGGCCTGTTGCTAGCCCGCTGCCCTAACGGGAACCAGAGTTCTTTGAGAAGTACTGTTTACTCTGATATGGGGCTCAGGAGGTTGGAAGTCATCGATCCTCTCCTGTAGAAGAACCCCCATTTAAAGACAAAACACACTCTTTATACGCAGGAAATGGCTGAGGCTACTTGGACCACCCACGAAAGCCATCTGCATGTGGGAGGAGCGGAAATGTCCATGCAGGTGCTAATAGCTTTACCCAGATCCACTCAGCACAGAATTAAACCAAAAGAACTCCTGAAAGGAAGCTGCATTTTCCTTCCTGTCATGCGAGAGGAGATACAGCTTTGTTGAATCTGTGGCTAAATCCAGGGAAGAGCTCCCAAAATAGCCTGTGGCTAAAAACATATAGCCTGGAGCCTAAGTTCAAATCCCCGCTGTGCCACTAACTGGCTGTGTGACCATGAGCGAGTGACCATGAGTTCCTCAATGTCTCTGTGTTTCAGTTTCCTCTGCCTATGAAAGTGAGCTTCTATGAATACTTTCCTCCTATTATGAAAATTATAGAAGTTGATTTACCTAGAATCCTCAGACTTGAGTCTGGCATGGTATGGAAGAGTTTGCTGTGTTAGGATTGTTGTTGTCATTATTATTCTGGGGAACATGAGCCTTGAGGTGGGGGCAGCCACCGTTCACATCTCAGCTCTGCCTCTCACTGATTCCGACATTGCGCAGGTTACTCAGGCCAGTTGGTGCCTCAGTTTCCTCACTCCTAAACTTGGAGTGATGATAGTAATTCCTCATCGTGTGAGATCAGACATTCAAGCTAGTGATTAGGATGGTGCCTGGCACATGGTAAGCACTCAGCAAATGCTTGCCCTTCTTACCTTCTGTTTAAATGGATCCAGCCCTATCAACATGCGCAGAAACTAACACTACTTGCCTGGGAAAATGTGCTAGAAGAACCTGTGGGAATGCAGGGAAAATGAGGGCTTTTAACTCTGGGCTTTTAACTCTGAACTTGCTTTGTGCATCTACTTCTTCCTCAGCCGACAGAGACGTGACCCATCTGCCAGCTCCCAGGAGAAGTGTAATTGGCTGCAACTCAAACACACAAGATGCACGAGGAGGAGGACACATGTTGTACCTCAAAAGTCGCTGGGTTTGCTGGCAGTGAGCAACCAATTACTTGAAAAATCTGAGCTCTTACTATCTGCCGAGCAGTGAGAGAACTGTAGAAAATGTCAACTCCATCTGGGATTTGAGCTATGTCGGCATTAGACAAGCTGTTCTCTGTCCTCAACAGTCCTCCTGGGTGAGACTTGGTGGGCGTCATAGTGAGCCGAAGAAGGAAGTTTTTTACTTCCCTGCTTTTTTTACTCCAAGTCCTGCCGTGAGTTAGCATATGGCATCTCAGATGTGTGAATGAACTGTGATTTGTAGTTGTGCTATCTGCAAGCTAGAAGGGACCTAGTTGGGGAAGAAAAAAAAAAAACAAAAACAAAACAGATTCAGAA